GCGTAGACTACACTGATTTAAACAGGGCGTGCCCCATGGACCTCTTCCCCTTGCCAAATATTGATCAACTGGTGGATGAGCCCGCAGGGTGCGAGATCATGTTCTTCCTCAATGCCTTCCGAGGGTATCACCAAATTTTCATGCACGAGGAAGACGCCGAAAAAACAGCCTTCATGACTCCCGAGGGCATATTCTGCTACCTTGTGATGGCCTTCGGCCTAAAGAACTCGGGCGCCACTTAAACCCAGATGGTAGCCAGAGTCTTTCAGGCCGTCCTAGGGCGCACCATGGAGGCCTATGTTGATGACATGATTGTCAAAAGCAAACGGTCATCAAGCCATGCTGACGACCTCCGGGAGATCTTCGCCATCATGCAAAAGTTCAACCTTCGGCTGAACCCGAAGAAATGCACCTTCGGCGTACAAGGAGGCAAATTCTTAGGCTACATGGTGAGCCGAAGGGGTATCGAGGCCAAACCCGAGAAAATCTAGGCCATCAACAACATGGAGCCCCCACGCAACGTGAAGGAGGTCCAACGGTTGGCGGGCCGCCTGGCAGCCCTCAATCGCTTCCTATCCAAATCGGCAGATAAGTCTTTACCCTTCTTCCAGATCATGAGGAAGACCGCCGGCTTCCAATGGACTTCAGAATGCCAGGAGGCCTTCGACGAGCTAAAACAATATTTATCTTCACCCCCTGTGCTCTCCAAACCCAAGGTAGGAGAAACTCTATACCTTTACCTGGGCGTCAGCTCGGCTGCCATCGACTCAATGCTCATCCGGGAGCAAGATGGCGTCCAACATGCCATCTTCTATGTTAGCAAGACCCTCAGGGAGGCCGAACTCAGGTACTCCCCCGTGGAAAAAATAGTCTTGGCCATTGTTTGGACTGTGAAGAAGCTTGGCCACTACTTTCAGGCCCATCCGATCCAGGTCCTCACTCACCAACCCCTCGGCGCCTTGATGAGGAGTCCCACCAGCTCCTCCCGAATGGTAAAATGGGCTATATTCCTCAGCCAATACAACACCGACATCCGTCCGAGGCCTGCCATAAAGGGCCAAGCCCTGGCAGACTTCGTGACGGAATGCACGGCCAGATCAGCGGTGGATGAGGAGCCCTCGGCACCTTCAGACGAGTGGTGGACCCTTTATACCGATGGCTCCTCAGCCACCAAAGCATGCGGAGGAGGGGTAGTTCTCATTACTCCCAAAGCTTTCCGAGCCTACTATGCCATCCGCTTCTCCTTCAAAGTCTCCAACAACGAAGTAGAATATGAGGCCCTCCTCTGTGGCGTTCGACTGGCAGCAAATATGAAGGCCAGAATGATCCACGTCAGGTGTGACTCCAAGCTTGTTGTGGACCAAATCTCCGGGGAGTATGAGGCCAAGTAAGGGAGGATGAAACAATACAAGGAGGCGGCTAAAGAATTGTTCAAGGTATTTGAGGCACACTCTCTCACCCAAATACCGAGGGCTCAAAATTTTGAGGCCGATATTTTATCAAAACTCTCGGATGAATCTCCCGAGCACCTCTCCAAAATTGCAAGGATAGAAGAGCTCAGCCTCTCAAGCATACACGCCAGTCCCATCATGAATATACAACAAAGACCGGAGGACTGGATCTCAGACATCATTGCCTTCATCACCACAAGGCAACTGCCCGAGGATGAGGCCCGCACCAAGCTAACAAAATTGAGGGCACCCAGCTACACCATCGAGGACGGAAGGCTCTACAAACGATCTTACAATGGCACGCTGCTCCGGTGCCTTCATCAAGATGAAGCCGAAGTTGCAATGGAGGAAGTGCACAGTGGCACTTGTTCAGCTCATCAGGGACCTTCTCCATGTCCCGAAGGCTCATAATCCAGGGCTACTTCTGGCCTACGATGGCCCGAGATTGTGCGGATCTCGCCCGAAGGTGTACCACATGTCAACACTTCCAGAAAGCCCCCGACAGGCTAACGGTCAAATATGCCCCCATTAGCACATCTATACCCTTCGCTAGATGGGGCATAGACCTTGTGGGCCCTCTGCCGAGGGGTACCTCCAACAACAGGTACATCATCATTTTCATTGACTACTTCAACAAGTGGGTGGAGGCTGAGCCCCTCGCCAGCATTAGTGAGGTCAGGTGCCGCCAATTTGTCCTAAAGAACATTCTCACAAGGTTTGGTGTCCCCCAACAAATCATCTCCGACAATGAGACCCAATTTGAGGCAGCCCCCTTTTGTGTTCTCCTAGAGGCATGGGGCATCAAGCACACCTTTTTATCCGTTGCCTACCCCCAAGGCAACGATCAAGTGGAGAATGCCAACCAGACATTACTTGAGGGCCTCAAAAAGAAGCTGGAGGCCGAAGGGGGAGGCTGGGTACAAGAACTCCACAATATCCTATGGGCTTACCGCACCACCCCTCGGTGGGCAACAGGTGAAACACCCTTCTCCCTGTGCTATGGATCTGAAGCTAAAGCTCCCACTGAAGTGACCCTTCCTACCCGAAGGGTAGCCCAATATGATCTTGAAGTCAACGACGCCAACATGGCCCTCGACCTTCACCTTATCTCAGAACGCCGAGAGCAAGCCTTCATACGAGCGGAAAAATACCGAAGGCAAATCAAAAGCTACATCGACGCCAAAGTCCGTTCTCGAGAATTCCAAGTGGGGGATTATGTCCTACGACGAAGGGAAGCAAGCCACCCAACCGAGGGCGGTAAAATGGCACCCAAATTTGAGGGCCCATACATCGTTGCAGCCGTCATCAAATCGGGAACTTACAAGCTCAAACGCCCCAACGGGACCGAGGTCCCCGACATCGGAATGTACACCATCTGGTTAGATTTTATCAGTAATGTTAGAGCGGCCAAGCCCTCATAACTAATGAATGTATTATTCTACGGCCCAAGGCCTTCAAATTTGAAGACATATTGAAGACACCAAGAACAAGAAACAAGACACATATGAGCGGCCAAGCCCTCATGCAGACTCATGGCCCAAGGCCTTATTACAAGACCCCTCGGCACCAAGTGCCGAGGGTTGACACTCCAATCACCTACGGGAAACACCAAGTGTTGTTAAGAAGACCCCTCGGTACCAAGTGCCGAGGGTACGTACTCCTATCAACTCCAGACAGCGGAAAACACCAAGTGTTCCCTTTTGAAGACCCCTCGGTACCAAGTACCGGGGGCTGAAACAAACACCAATTGTTGTTTCTGAAGTCGTACCCCTCGAGGACACATTCATACCGAAGGCGCCACCTATCGGTGCCGGCGGCACGTAGTGCCCCCAGCCATTTGCAACCAGTGTGCAAATGAAAAACCTTCCTTGAAACGCTTTCCACGCCATTACCCCAAGGGTATGGCAGACAACTAATATGCCCAGGATTCGACTTTCAAAAACGAAACGCTTTCCGCACCACTACCCCAAGGGTATGGCAGGCAACTAATATGCCCAGGATTGGACTTTCAAAACCGAAACGCTTCCCGTGCCATTACCCCAAGGGTATGGCAGGCCACAGACTATGTCTCGTGTCCAGGGAACGACTTTCAAAACTGAGGCACTTTCTGTGCCATCCCCCAAGGGGAGGCAGGCTACAAACTATGTCTCATGCCCAGGAAACGACCCTCGATCCCCTCGGAACTCGGAAGGTTAACCCGAGGGGGGAGCTAATGGTGTATGTTGTTGCCTCCCGATAGGCCAAGCCTTACCAAGAAACCAAGTTTCTTGAAGCCTTCCCTTCACTACCAAAAAAAATAAAAAAAAGTGGGGTGAAGGGGAGTAGACTCAACGAGAAATCAGCGAGTGCACAACTTCAACAAATCACAGCAGGAAGCCCTTCGGCATCACAAGACAATACAGATCATACCGAGGGCTCCCCATGGGAACACCCCTGGTACTTATAAACCACTAATCCTCGAAGGTTACTATTAGACGAATACCATCAAGGAATAACGGAGCCCACTTTCTGGCTGCCTCCGGCATCACCAACACTGAAGGCTCACATTACCAAAGCGAAGGCATCTGCTACGCATTACCAGAGGCCAATCTTACAAACAAAGGGAAATGACTCTAAATCTACAAAGTTGAGTGCCTCCGAGACCACCATCCTTCACCAAAAGATTTCTTACTCCAAATACTACAAATCGAAGGGTCTATTCACCAAGGGACAAATTATGAATTATCGCAAAAATTCTAAGTCCTAAAATGCTTGGTCCTCTGTCAAATTATCATCCATCCGAGGGCAGTACACGAAGGCTGGCACATAAAATTTAAGCCTCCTATCTCATCCAGCCAGAGGGGCCTACTAACCAAGGGCTCAGTAGCCAAACCACACTTAGAAAATTTCTAAGTCCAAACTGATTGGTCCTCGGTCAACTATCAGTGCAACGAAAGCTAAGTGGAAAACTACATTTCAAACTCACATTGCAACGAAGGCCACTCCACTTCATACAACAAGAAGTGCCTACTAACCGGAAGCTCAGGGAAAAAAACTACACTTAGAAAATTTTTCTAAGTCCTAAATATTTGGCCCTCGGTCAAATCTCCATGCAGCCAGAGGGGCCACACAACCAAAGGCTTGGTGGAAGGACTACACTTAGAAAAAATTTCTAAGTCCTAAATATTTGGCCCTCGGTCAAATCTCCATGCAGCTAGAGGGGCCACACAACCGAAGGCTTGGTGGAAGAACTACACTTAGAAAATTTTTCTAAGTCCTACATATTTGGCCCTCGGTCAAATCTCCATGCAGCCAGAGGGGCCACAAAACCGAAGGCTTGGTGGAAGAACTACACTTAGAAAAATTTTCTAAGTCCTAAATATTTGGTCCTCGGTCAAATCTCCGTGCAGCCAGAGGGGCCACACAACCGAAGATTCAGTGGTGAAGCAACACATAAAATTTTTTCTAAGTCCTAAACAACTGACAACTCAAACATCAAAGTACGAGGGCATTCATTCACAAGGCAAATTCGAAGGCATTCATTTCACAAAGAAAAGACAAAAGCATACATTCAAAGAAAAAAGCAAATTATATATAAAAGGCCCGAAGGCAGGCATTCATTCATCAACAGGGAATAAAAAGTTGTTTGCCATCATGGCCGAAGCCGAAAGTTACATGGATGTTTATACAAAAGATGTTCAAAATTACACGACCACAACATCATCAACAACTTCAACAGCACCCCCCTCGACAGGCTTAGAGGAAACATCCCCTTCGGCCCCTTCATCATCATCACTCGGTGCCTCCGCCATTAGGACCGAGTCTTCAAGAACCGGCCTCTCTTCGCCCGGGGGGAGGGGAACACGAATGTCTGGTTGCAAGGGGGATGCCATATGCCACCGGGTCAAACTTCTCTGGATCAATTTGGAAGTGCCTGGCGAGCCTCCGGTAAACGAGGGCTTGGGTGAAATACTCACCGCCCTCGTAACAACTCTTGCCCTTACGGGCCATCCACTCAATCCCGGGGCCCTTAACCCAGACATCCACCGAGGCCGCAACTACCGAGGCCACCCATTCCTCCTGGCTCTCAGCTTTCCACCCCTCAGCATGGAAGGCGGAAATAGCGTCCTCCCGGGCTTTGACAATGGCTTCCGCTTTTGCAGCCTCGGCCTCGTCAGTAGCTTTCTGTGCGGCCTCGGCAGCAATCTTGGAAGCTTCAGCTTCCTTTTTGGCTCTTTCGGCCTCCTCCTTCGCTTGCCGAAGGTCCTCCTCCAGCTGGGCCATCTGCCTCACAACGTCAAGGTTGTCATGGATCAGTTTTTTCATCTTCTCAGCCCCCTGGGCCTTCTGAAGGCGCCACTCCTCTAGCCTTCGAGCCTGCTCACCGAGGGGAATACAAGCCTGAAGATAACAAAGGAATCAGGACACCATACAAAGTACTCAAAGGCAAAACGGAAACAAAGGAGACAACTCACAGTGAGGGAAGATCGGAGGATCTTGGACTCAAGGGCTTCGTCCTCAAGCCTGCCGAGGGCGGCCCTATTGAACGAAGGAGTAGCACCCCGAAGGAACTCTATCGGATCCACGGTCCCCTTCAGGAGGGAAGAAGGTATGTCCTTTCGGGGTAAGCCCCCCTCGCCCCTCTGTGCCGAAGGAGGACTAGAGGCAATGGTCTCCGCCACAACATGGAGCCCGGAGGAAGAGTCCTCCCCCACGACCACAACCAGGGGAGTTTTCTTCTCAGCATCCCCTCTCCGGGGGTTCTTCCCTTGGGGACCTGGACCTTTGCCCACCGGCTTCCTCTTGGCGGCGACATCAGCAGGGGCAGTAGCCGAGGGCTCCCCACCCTTCTTGGGGAGTGCGTCGAGGGGCTTCTGAACGCCCACATCCTTTTTTGGGCTCCTTCGTCGACTTCTTCATGAAGCCCGTGAAGTTTCTCAGGTCCATTTCAGCACCTGCAAAATAAGGCAAACAAATGAGACCGGAGGGTCAGAAAAAAAAACTAATCTACGCAAAAATCCTAAGTACAAAAAAGGCAGAGCCTTCGGAGACCTACCTCCTACAAAATGATCAAGGACGGGGTACTTAGCATCCGTCTCCCCTAAGAAACGAAAACGCCGGAAGCCTAGCCCATACAAGTCATCGTCAAGGGTCAGCTCATTGACCATCATGTGCTTTTTGCGCCCCTCAGGGATAGCAGAGATGGTCTTCCCTGCCTTCTCGAGGGCAGCATTCCCTACCTTCGGATGTCGCCTAAAACGGTCCCGCAGCTCCCTCGGGAATGGATTACCTGGCCTCTTCACATAACAAAACCGGTCCCTCCAGCCCTTGTGAGACGAGGGCACGTTGTCAAAGAGTCTTCATTGGGCAATCTGTTGAAGGTTCGCGTAGCCTTCGGAATTAGCATGCCCCCCCTGGCACAGGTTGAAGCTCTGGAAAAAGAGGTCCAGACTAGGGGCCACCCCCGTGATTCGCAGAGATGCAGGAAGGCCGCAATATATGAATGGCTGTTTGGGGTAAGTTGACAGGGGGCTAGACCAACGTACCTGAGGTACTCCAAGAGGAAGGGGTGCAATGGGAACCGGAGGCCTATTGAAACGGAGAGGATGTGGACTGCGAAGCACCCCTCGGGAGACCGGGAGACTACGTCATTCGGACCTGGATCAACCACATCCGCTGAAGGCCCCACGTGCAATTGCGTCACATAGCATTCGTCCCGATCAGACCTCGAACTTATCGCGAGGGCAGCAGTGTTCAACCACGAATACCCCTCAGGAATCCCCACTGACTTCCCGAGATCTGCAGCACTACCTTTCTTCTTGGCCCCCCCGGCCTTCTTACTCTTCTTCGCCGGGGCCACCCTGAGAGGTTCCGAGTTGAGTGGCCGGGAGGTGCTGGCCTCACCCGCATTCCGGGGGGAAGGACGGCAACAATGACCTTCATCCTCTCCTTCTGCTCCTTCTGCTCAGCAACCTGAACGGCGAGGGCCATCTCCTCGACCTTGATCACCTGCTCGAAGTCCTCAGCTTCGGCCTCGGCAACGAGGTCTTTCTGTACCTCCATGGCCATCACAACATCATTCCCGGCCGAGGGTTGCTCACTCGTGGATTCCACGTCTGAGATACTCTCCTCCTCCATCGAAGGCTCCCTCGAGATGTTTTGTGAGTCGCTTTGCGAAGACATCCTCGAAGGCTAGGGGACGAGGGTTTCTACAACAGATGGCTACCTAAGGAACTATACCACTTAGCCTAAGGCTACGAAAGCTGAACTCACCAAGAAAAAAAGCAAAGTATGCTGAAGGCAACATAGAAGGGATCGAAGACTGACCTTGAAAGCTGGTAGTTTGACCGAGGGAAAGTTTATCTCTCTAGGAAAAATTTGCCAGAGCTTCGCTAAACAATTGAAACGCACAAGGGGAAATGAATCGGGCAAGGGGTATTTATAGGCACCCAGATCCGGGCTTGGGCCCAAAACCGGGCCTCCGGTTACGAAAGTCATCATTACACGCCGCCCATTCCGCCAACCGGTGGTGCCCGCCCAAAGCTAGCCAACAGCCACGCGCCACGTGGAAGTCCTCTCCAACGGCTACTTTTTAAACGTTCCATATGCCAACAGTATGATTGCAACGGCTATATTTTGAAATCACAGAGGCGCTCCCGACCGGTACCCCTCATATAACATCACTAGTGCCTTCGGGCTTTCTCCTTCAGGAGCCCACGGCTTAACAACGGGAAAACCCCTCGGGACCCCCAACCCTAGACGTGTTGGGAATCAGGAGTCCCTCAGGGCCACACCCCCAAACCCCTCATCAGTGGTTAGCCTTCGAGTGCCCTCATCCCCAGCTTGTCAATAGCCAGAGAATCCCCCCGGCAACACAGCAACTACCACTTACATTCATCACGCCCTCAACCCCATGGATTGAGGGACTCCCCTTCGGCATCTCCTGGGATATTTACAAAGCGCCTTCGGCAAGTCAAAACACGCGCCCTCAGATCAAGGGTAGCCTTCGGCATCAACTTTGTCCTTCATCCCAGACCAAGGTTTCACCTTTTTGAGTCATCATTGGGGGAATTCGGTGCACTCTCTTTCCCTCATTAGGATTTTTTCCCACGGGGTTTTCCCTAATGAGGTTTTTAACGAGGCATCCCCCCAAAATGAAACGAAAAGTGTCAACCTTCGGCCCCATGTGACAGCGGGCACTATTCTACTCCTCTTCACCACATTACATGTGCCTCAAGGAGTGGGGGACTGGAGGACCCCTTCGGGAAAAATCACAAAAATGCAAAAGCTCAAAAATCTCCCCAAAACAGCAACATGACCCTTCAGCCCCAAAATGTGGGGGACTGAAGGGCTGCCCCCTTGCAGAATCGTGTGCAAACGCAAACCTCCCTCGAGTTTACAAGCTACAACAAGGCAGCATCAGAGGACAACCGCAATTACTCCTTTTCCCTCAAGTACCTTTCGGCAAAAGGAGTGAGGGACTCCTGATGGAGTATATGGCCCAGGAACCCCCGGCCCATAGACTCCCGCTACTATAGCAAAGGCCCAATAGGCCCAGGAAGCACAGCATGCCTAAATCACAGCGCCCCAAGTGCCAAACAGCCCACGACGAGCTTTGGGATGCCTTCGCCCCCCTGACCGAAGGCTCATAAACTTACAGCACAGCTTCTTTAAAGCACTCAAAGCGTCTGGGAGAAAGCGGCGAAAACAGTAGCCCTCGGCACCTAGAGCCCCCGACACCTAGAGCCCTCGGCACCCAGAGGCCCCCTGGGTGAGGAGCCTTCGTCCAATCACCTACGGCCAAAGGCATCTCCTCGACAGAATCTCCCACCCACATGCGCTGGATCAACATACCGAGTACAAATGTCACATCCAACCACTGCATTTAATGCGGCCACATGCGAGTGCTAGTGCCACCCCGTTGAGGTGACCCCTCGACCACCAGAATGATGACACATGTCCCTATCTGGCATTTATTACTACTATAAATAGCACTCCTTTCCCCATTTGTAATCCATGCTCAATACGCTCAACACATTCTCAGCAATATATATTCTCTCTCTTACTTTTGCTCTGACTTCTCTCTAGTTATTCCCCGCAGTAACCCCTTGGATAGATACCCCCCGGGTACACTTATCCATCACAAAGTATACAAGAAAACGGAGAAAGGTTGACGAACTAACCTTTGAAGTTTTGAAGAGAGTGAAGAACACTGACGAACATCTTATCTCTCTAGAAAATCCGATAGCACTTCGTTAGCTCAGGTCGCAAATGAGCGCCTCGCTTCGAAAGGGAGGGGTATTTATATAACTCCCCCCAACGGTCACTACACGTGGCATCCCCTCAATGGCCATGCGAACGGCCACCACCCCAAGGGCCAATTAGGTTCCACCGTTTCAAATATGGGCCAACTTCAGGCACCATCAGCCCACTATCAAGGTAAGCCCTACGGTTCAACAGTCAAATGGGTTGCACCCACAACCGCCAAAACATTCAACGGCCACACAAAGGGGAGATATGATCCCTCCACAACCACAAGTTACACCTATATCGGCCTTAGCATCCAACACCACTTCAATGGCTTGCCTGAGATCAGAACGCCATATCGGCATCACAAACCCTAAGGTGCGCCCATATCGGCCAGTTATATCCCCAACAGCATGGCCCCTTTAACGGCCACACAAACAAAGTGAAGTAGAACCTAACAGCCATCGGCCCTCGTATAAAACCCTACTGGTGATAACCTCTTGAAAGCGACCTGCGTCCAAGGGTTCTCCCGCAGGGTTACCTTGGCAAGGAATTGCTAAGGGGTTGGATTCAGGGGAATATGAGAATCCCGCTTCGGCCTGGGGTTGTACCTTACTCCTTCACCCCTCACACACTCTTCGGCCTGAAGTAGTGGGGGACTAGGGGACTACACCGGACTCTAAACGCACACAAGGACAAAATTGAAAATCCAAAAACACACAAGTATACAACTATAACAACACCGTATCGTCTATGCACCATAACGTCCAGGACCTGGTGGTGCACCCTCGGCCGCAACAAAGTAAGCAAACAAGGAAGCAAAGCTCACCTCCCAGAACGTGGCACGTGTCGTCCCTCGACGTGTGGCGCTCAACAGACTTGGGTCACGTACTCCATCCTCGGCCAAGGTAAGAAAATAACACCACAATGTCCACAAAACCAGGGACACACAACATCTTCTGGTTGAGTGCCATTATCGTCCTCGAGGCCATGAACACCAAACTCTGAATAATATCGCTTCGGCCTGGAGCACTAAAAGCAACCATGGTGCCTTCTCGGCCAGAAACACAAAAGGCAACCAACAACGGCCAAAGAGAGGTCATGTCACCCTCAAAACTGAGACCACTCATCGGCTACTCAGGCCATGACACTCATCGTCCTAGAGCACAAAGGCATGCACCACCCTCAGAACAAGGACCTCCTTCAACCACAGTAGAGGCCATAACGGCCAAACACAGAGGCCACACAACGTCCAAAACAGAGGTCACACAACGGCCAAAACAGGGAATACACACAACGTCCAAAACAGGGAACGTCGACAGCGGCCAGAACAGAGAATGTCCACAACGGTGCCACATCGGCCAAAGAACATCAAGACCACGGGAATCTACTCTCTTTCACATCGCCCGCGTCTCAGCTCAGAGAGTGGGGGACTCCTGATGGAGTATATGGGTCCAGACCCCATGACCCACATATTCAGAAGAATAAGAAGCACTGCTGGCACCCAGCGGACCCTCCGTCGGCCAGATGGCCCTCCATCAGCCAGAAAGACATCAACTCAGAACATGATCCAGAAGTCAGGAGAACCGGGTGTCTCCGTCGGCCGGGTCTCCGTCGGCCGTGGCTCCGTTGGCCGTGGCTCCGTCGGCCAGACCCCCGCCAGCCACAGAGAGCTCACAAAGCCGGATTTTATACTTAGTCATTTCTACATATTTTGTACTCGGCCCACTAGTGGCCCCATTGTAAATGGGCCTCCCAAGCCGGCAAGCCCAAGACTTGGGAGCCCAGCCCACATTTCCTTTATAAATACTCCCATTGGGAATAGTTGTAGGGGTTGACAAATTCATTTATTGCAGAACTTATTGCACTTCTCTCTCTAGCTCTCTCTTCTCTCTAGAACATATACTCTATCATATAAATTAGCCCCTCATTTAATATTTTGACATTTCACACATTATTTCACACATACAAACTAAAATACACCATTTTAATATGTATTTTCACGCATTTCACTAATTAAAGTACAATAATCAATATTTCACAAAGACAAGCTAAAACCACATAAAATTAAATATTACAATAATATTATACGTAATAATAATTTCTACGTCATCAATAAAGTACTACTTAAACTTAAAGCAATACATTAAATAAATATTCTTAGTATAGTTACTTGACTTGGACTGCAATTTGTCCCAGATCAGATCACACCGGATTAGACCAAACTTGGGTAGTTAAAAAAATACTAAGAAATCAGACCTGACCATATCAGTTCAGACCAGACCAGACCAAATTATACCAGACCAGAGCAGACAAGCAAATTTCAATCCAAGTAAAAAACATCCTAATTTGTTGTTTTAAAAATGGGTCAAAACTATAACTATCAAAACTTTGGGTCACTTTTTAAATTAAAAAAATTAAAAAAAGAAGATGGTGTGGGATTTGGTGTACACCATATATGGCGTGAACTTCTCCCCTCTCCACCAAAATGGTGTAATGGTGTAAGATTTGGTGTGATTGTTGGAGCATTTTTTTGGCAAATACACCATTTTGGTGTGGGATTTTGGTAAGTTTTGCTCTGAACACCCAAAACTGTAATGTCTTCCGGCACGCCCCAAAAATATGCAGCACCGTTTCATTCTCCTCTGAGAAAAAAGGATAGATAGATTGACAAGCTACCCTTCGTACCAAAAGCTTATCCGCAGTTGGAAGACAACCCACGCACGTCTGCCACAAAAAAGCCTTTACCTTTGGTGGTATAACAAATTTTCACATTCGGGCCCATCTAGCTACTTGTCATGCTTGGCATTCCCCAATTAGAGCCCGATAACAACCTCTAATCGAGAAATGGCCCTTCTCTTTCAAAGCCCAGAATACCTGATCCGCCCCCCTCCTTTAGACACAGTGGTAACCCCAAAATAAGGCCTCTCTCCCTATCATCAAACAACTCAAAAACCAAATCCATATCCCAATCTCATTTATCATTCAAAATGAGACCCGTGACATTATACTTCTCCATCCCCTGAAACGAATGCGAAGAAGGTCTAGGGTTTGATTCAGGCGGTAGCCAAGAATCCCACTACATATTCACAAATTTGCCGTCGTCGATCTGCCATCTAAAATTGTTGGTAATGATGGGTTTTGCTTCCAAAATACTTCTCCATATAAAGGGTGGAGATTAGGGATAGCAATGAGGCGGATCGGAGACGGTTTTACATATAACCGTAACCGTCCCATTGGGTAATTTCCCCGCCCCGTAACCGCCCCATTACCCAACGGGTAATTTTTACCCAATTCATAACCGCCCCAACGGGTAACGGGTAAAACTTCGGGTAACCGCGGGTAACCGCTTTATTAATTGAGTCATTAAATTTTGATATAAAAAATAATATTTTAAAAGGTGAAGAATGACATCGCCTAGACCATTCTACACTTAAGATGTCACTTTAAAGATTCGTATATCTACAAGACGAGAAAGGAAGCAACTTAAATTAATTTGAACCTAAAAATATTTGATCTAAAAAATAATTAATCACGGAAAAATATGATAATAATCAAACAAGACTATTAAATCTATTATGAACTTTCATTTATACATTATAGTTAGTACATCTATTATCTATACATACACAATGGTAAGAAAAAATCTCATCTTTTAATAGTTGTGAGACAAATAATAGATAAAAATATAATAAAAATATAACTACAAATAAACGGGGCGGGTAATGGGGCGGGCATGTATAAAACCGTAACCGCCGCATTACCCGTAAAAACAAAACGGGTATTTCCCGCCCCATACCCGTTACCCGGTCATGATTCTTTCAATTTCAGCACACAAATCCTTTGGAAGAACCATTCGTCGCATAGCTAGGCATGGCCTGAAGAACCATTTTGATTAATACCTCTCTACCAGCTCTAGATAAAAATTTATGATTCCAACTACTAAGGTGTTTGACAATCCTTTCCTTAAAATAGGCTAGAACTTCCCTCCTACTCCGACCCACCATAGAACGAAGCCCAGGATATTTAGCTCCTACCTCCATAGGCTTTACCCCTAGCATCTCCCGAAAGCCCTCCCATCTATCTGAGCTCACATTCGCACTGAAAGACACGATAGATTTATTAAAATTAATTACCTATCTCGAAGCCGCTTCATAATCTTCAGGACTGTCTTGACTAGCGAACATTCATCATGAGAAGATTTAAAGAATAAAAATAAATCATATGCAAATAATAGATGCGAGATACGAGGAGCCCCCCTCACGATACACACTTAATGGAGTCTACCTGTTGCGCCGCCGCATCTTCCTGCATCAGTCGAGCGCTCAATTCCTTTGCAACAAGGATAAACAAGTAAGGGGAGAGTGGACCCCCTGTTTGAGACATCTATTATGAATCATCAATCCCAATTCCACACCATCAAACAGATTGGAGTAGGACACTATAATACTTAAGAATTTGGTTATTTGATTTTAGTTAATGTTTGGGGACGAAACATCTTTTAAGGAGGGTAGAATGTGACACTCCAAAATTTTTAATAAAAATAAAATAATTTTATTATTGAAATAAAAGGTTACCTTAACTGTTATGACTTTTAATCAAATAAAATGTTACGGAAATGATATTTTTATTATTAAGTGAGGCAAACAAAAATTCAAACAGTTGTGACATTCCAACTAGATAAAAAATTTCCAAGCTTACGACGTTTTAGTCAGATAAAAATGGCCCGATAAAAGAAGTGACGTTTTCATATTAATGAAGTACCAGTTATACAAATGGTATAAGTAATAAGTAATAAAATAATAATAAAACTCCTAATAAGTCAAATACACTTACGTAATCATAATAATAAAGTATAATTAGACTACACATATTAAAGAGTACAACTAAAGAGTAAGAATTGTACAATATTAAACTACTACTTACGTACTTCACTAATAATACGTACTCCTATAATATAAAATACTCCTACCGTCCTACGTACTACACTAACGGGGATAACTACGAACGAAGCTAAACGCACGGAAGGAAGGGAACCCTATTCACGACCACATTCACAAGTTGAAGTGAACACAAACTCTAACAAACTGATCGGATAAATTCTGAGCTAAAACTTAAGAAGGATAGAAACTCTGTGTTCCAGTATAAATATCAGACCTCTCCTGCGTTCTTCGTATATATATATATATTTACATATACGCATATATACGAAGGGTATATATAAACCAGATTTCGTCCCTTCTTTATACTAAATAACGAGCTTCGAAAACACCCTAAAAATCTTTCTCTTCGCGAGAGGAATACAACAGAGAAAGAATCGTAGAAAACGTTCGTGAAACGAGGGAGAAAAGCTTCACCGGAGTTCGCCGGACTCACCGTAACGACGGAAAACGGAGAAAAAGGAGGAGCTACCGCTGCCGCCAACCCATCAAAGACCTTCGCCGTCCCTGAAGGAGTGCACCGCCGCTCGTGTTTCACGCATCCGTCGAGGTAAGTTTCCCATGCCTTACCTGCGTTTTGCGGCGTACCAACGAAGAAGACGACCCAGCCAAAAGGCTGGGGTCTGTCTTGCTGGGCCAGTTCTCTTTGGGCCGAATGAATATTTTCTGGGCTGAAACTTTTAAGTTTTGGACTGAATAATAATAATAATAATAATAATAATAATAATAATAATAATAATCTGCAAAATTGATAAATTTGAGATGAGAAATACTAATGATGAAATCGGTTTGATTAATTAATAGTAATCACTTGGATAATTTTGTTAATTGTTATTTAACATAATGTTAGATGATAAAATGAATTGATGGTTTAATTAATAAACGATTATCATATTAACATAATAATTATTTATTTAGACTTAGTACCATAATTAGAGTAAATAAAATTGGATAGATATTATTTTCACTAAATATTGGATTAATTGAAGTAGAGTAATAAAATTAACATAAATATGGACTCGGAAATATTAAGTGTTTGAGTAATTAATAAAATCAGAATACGTTAATAATGATTAGTTAATTTAAATAGTTATAATACTCGGATTTGCTAATGCTAATAATGTTGATTAATGTAAATTAAATTAATTATGAAATTTGAATAGTTTAATTAAAAATAATTCGGATATGTTTCCTATATTTTAATGATATTGAGATATAATTAATGTTTTATGAGTGGAGAAAATTAATGGTGATTATTAAATTAAAATGGGATGTTGAAGTTAATTATATGCGGATATTTTATTTAATTATAGAATTCAAATAGTGTATGTAACGACTAAACTAAAAAAGGTAATTTGATTAATAAAAAGTGATTAACTCTAATAATTAATAAATTAAATTCATTCAAATAATAATATGTAAGGGGAAATAGGATAAATGATTGAAATAGAATAAGTGACTAATTATATCATCTTAATTAAAAAGGTGAATACTTAGAGACCGGAATTGAAGAAGAGAATTAGGAGCATCGGGACTTAAGATAAGTTTCACGTCAACCGAAATTAGTTCTTTTTCTTCGTGATTTGTTATAAATATTTTTGTGTGCATATTAGAGAATTGAATTTATGTGTGCTGAATTTGAGTGAAAAGTATTATACGAAAGGGTTGTATTTGAGATATTAGTTGATATATTGTTTTGTTGATATGAGTTATTGTATATGATTTTGGGAGATTTTGTAATAGTACGTAATTTATTATTTTTGTGGGAGTTTGATGCAAAGGGAATTTTTGAAGTATAAACTTCAATTGATTTTGAGAAAAATAAATATTTTCATAAAAGGTGAGCATCACGGGAGAAATCCGTGGTGTTGGTTTTCCACATCCCTTAAAATGTGGAGGGTGGTTAGGTCTACTACTACTCAATTTTTTGTTGGTTTTGGTTTGAGGTGAGTTGACGGTCGGTAGAAAACATCCTGACTTTTGAGTGGTAGTGGTAGTAGTAGCTCCTAATCATTCAGTTTTTGAGGTGGGGTAGTTGGTAGAAAACATCCCGGCTACCCGGATCGACTTACTAACCCGGAGGGCTTGGAATACCTTTAGGGGGTGTGCACACTTAAAGTAGTTGTTTCCGTTTCCATTGAGCAGTTGTGGTACCGGCGATAGTCCCGGGGTGGCCGTACATAACAACGGACCACCGGGCTCAACCAAAGTGTTGAGCACCGCCCTTCTAAATTACTAGGAAGCTAGACACAAAGTGATTTTTGGGAGAAATTCATTAGAGGAGAATTTTGGTGTTTCATATATCTTGGAATTATTATGGTATTACGGGTTATGTTATTGGGATTTTGTATAGGTATCATGTACTTATGATTTATAAAGTGTTTTGAAGAATATTTTATGTTAAACGGTTGTACGGATTATATATATATTTATTATTTTTATTTTAAAAGGTTAGGTAGAACTTACTTAGCATTATTGGTAATGTTTGTTTTCTTTTTATTTTCTTGTGCTCGTATTTAACAGGAGGTGATCATGTTGATTTTGATGCTGGAATGTTTGAGAGCGCAAACTAGAAGATCGCCATGTAGTTTACTAGATTAAACTTTGATACTTGCTTATGATTCGAACATCTAGATTTTTGTTAAATTACATTTGGGTAGATAGCCTTAGCATTCAACCATTCAAAGGTTGGATGTGGCGGTGACATGCCCCTTTTCCTTAGTTTTTATTAATTTCCGCTGCAACTTTTGAAGGTTTAATTATTAAATAAAAGTTCATCTCTATTTCCAAGTATTATTTTGGGTGGGAAATTTGGGGGTGTCACGAGTTGGTATCAGAGACTTAGGTTTTCTGAAGAGACTAGAACACGAAGTAATAGGTCGTAGGGAGGAATTCTGTCACAAAGACGATAACAGTCTAAGCTGGTTGGTGCATAATTGAGCCTTTGCGCTCGTCCAACTAACTGGGAATTTCTCCTTGTGCTGAAACTTCGTTGTTCGAAATCTTTGACGAAAACCATGGGAATCATACCTTCTAGTGGAGATCCTTTCAAATTATTTTTATCAAATTTAGGAAATGAAAATGATTAATGAAAGACCTTTCTAGGAACACAGTGAGGATTGTGAGATTTTGTATTGCTTTTATATGTTGAACAAAATACTTGACGCCTATGTGATCCTTTGTATGCTGGATTATGTTATGATTTAATGTGCTTAGTAGCTTGATTACTAGAAAATACCTTAGCACCTAAGTACTTTTCTTTTAGAGTATGCCGCCTAGGAGAGAAGTCCCCACAACACTAACTAATGCTGAGCTGGCGCTGACCATGCAACAATTTGCTCAAACGTTAAGCACCGCGTTTCTCCAGAACCAGCAAACCAGCAATGGCGCTTCTAAGAGGGTAGCAGCTCGGAATCCCCTGAGCTACCTGGGTCAGGAGGATCCGCTCATCCTTGAAGATTGGATACGCACCTTCGATAAGCTGTTCGAGGCAGTTAACTGCCCGACGGAACAACGAGTTGACATCGCCGCCTACTACTTGCATCAGGAGGCCGACAACTGGTGGGCCACTGATGGACCAGCCTTACGTCAGCAACCAAATCTTTCTTGGGAGGCATTTAAGGAGGCTATGAGGGAAAGATTTTATCCCGAACTTGTCAAAGCGGAGAAATATGAGGAGTTTTTGTATCTCAAACAAGGAGATATGTCGGTTTAAGACTATTACGCCAAGTTCGTGGCGTTAGCTCGGTTCGCACGTGCTCTAGTGCCGGACGAGAACAGCAAGGCCCGAAAATTCATCCATGGCCTGAATTTTGACACTCAGAAGGCTGTAAGTGTGCTAGGATGCCAGACGTTGAACGAAGCCTATACGAAGGCTGCTCTTCAGTATAGGGTTCAACGACTTCAACGTGATGCTTACAAAAGGAACAAAAGAGGTGACAACGATGACCAACCCCCAAGGGAGAAGAGAGGTAGACCCAATCCCCCTGAACAGCGAAAACAATGGCGGGGAGATGATCGCAATCGGAATCAAGGAGGAAGGAACTTCCAAGGGAAAGGTTCGACGGGTGAACGATATTATCATTGCAAGTTATGCCAAAAGAATCATCCTGGACGCGATTGTGCGGGCAATGCAGTGAAATGTTATGATTGTGGCCGGATGGGCCATAGAGCATATGAGTGTCACGTGGGAAAAGGGAGGGTTCCCCAGAACCAAGTCCAAATCAGCAAGGGAGGCAATCCTGGAGGAAATAGGCCAGGAGGCGCAGAGAATCCTAACCACAACGCTCGTGGGAATGGGGGAAACCACAAGGGTAACAACAACACCCCTAACCAAGGCAAGATCTACGTGATGAATCAAGCTCAAGCTAATGCCTGTGACGTGGTTTCAGGTACCTTTTAAGTGAACTCCATGCCTGCTTATGTTCTTTTTGATTCTGATGCTTCTCATAGTTTTATATCTTCAAGCTTTGTTAA